CCAGGCATTCCAAATGGACTAAATCCATCAGTGCATAATCCAAGATACACATTCTGGCTATTGCTAGCGAAATGTGGTTGTACATTGTTAAAATGTTTCCAGGCTCTTGCATTTGATGGATGATTCATCTCTCCATTCGTCTGAGTATGCTCGGCGTGCCATCTCATCCCTCCAGCAGTCTCCTGAGATTGGTACAATCTTTTCAATATGTCTGTGATTGGTACGTACCACATCCTTTGGTATGGTACCCTATTACGCCATCGACCTTGCGGTTTGAATCGTGGCTTCTTACAAAATCGACATTCTTCTAACTTCTCATCATCTCCTCAGTAAATCATGCAGTTGTCGATGCAAACATCTATCATCTCCGAGGGCAACCCAAGACTATATACTAATTTCTGAATCTGATAATAAGATTCAGCATAAACATTGTCTTCTGGCAAATACTCTTTAAACAAGTCTGCCCATGCATCCATACAATTTTCAGGTAGATTGTGATCGGTTTTAATACTCATCATTCTAGTAGCCAACGAAAATTTAGACATACCTTCTCTACAACCACTGTAAATTGGCTCATTCGCAGCTTCTAACATTTCATAAAACTTTTTTTCATCTAAGTTAGGTTCTTCAACTTTATCATGATCATGAGTTACAAATGCATCACCTACCATATCATGAACCCTATCACAATCTACCATTTGTTCCTCTTGGTGATGATAGCTATTTTGATTACGCAAATGATCAACCGGTTCAACCTGAAAATTGCTATTACTACTGCAGCCTTCATTCCTACAACTAGCATCGTCTTCTCCATGTCGATACCAAATATAATAATATGGCATGAAACCTCTATTTATTAAATGCTTCCAAACATTTTCACGAGGGACTAATTTTGTATTGCAGCATTTCCGACAAGGACAGAACATCTTACCACTTTCCTGCGTGAGTGGTGTAGAATCTGCTTGATGCATAAACGTCTCCAACCCTTCGAGAAATTCTTTCGTCACCCTCCTGTTATTATCTCTGTGTGAATACATCCACTTCCGCAACTCGAAAATATTTCCCGGACCGGACATTTTTTTGTGTTTGATCAAGCTTATAGCTGATTTTTTTTGGTGTGTTTCATATGAATCAGAAATTGTGGTATTTGTAGAAGTTTTCGAATCTGAGCATTTACTAGGAAATTGCTAGGAAATGTAGGTACAAAACACGTTTTTGATTTAAATTCGATATTTTCTATCCAGTTTCTCCTAATTTCGTAGTAACAAATCCATTCCTCCTAATTTCGTAGTAAGATTTTACTAGGACTTTACGAGGAAAGTTTGTTACTACGAGTTTACGAGCAAATGGAAATTTTCCACGTAATTTCCTCGTAAGCTTACTACGGTGTTACAAGGAAAATTGTTTCTCGTACCTATACAAGGACCTTATGAGGAAACTAGTTTTCCTCGTAAAACCGAAGTAAGATCGTAGTAAATTTACGAGGAAATATTTTTCTAGTAAAATTTCCTAGTAAATTCTTAGTTTTCTTGTAGTGCATGTTTATTAGCCAAGAATAAGTGGATAACTTTAGTTAACAGATCGATCTAAGAATGATATTTGATTTTTTTTAAGATTTGTTTCGCGAGAAAAGTCGTCTGGTTAATGCATATATTAGTTTACAGTCAACTATTTGTGTGTTTTACATGGAAGACTAAAAGCTAAAAAGGTCTTCTAACTTTTCATTGTAACAAAAAAAAGTAGTAGACTTTTTTCGAAATATTTTGTGATAAGTAGATTAGTTTTATAATGAATCAAATTTTGCAAAATTTCAACTTTTCCAAAGAAGACTTTTGGAGAATTTAACCCTAAAATGTTTGATGCTTTTTCTAAAAGATTCTAAAATCTAACCCTAAAAATATAAATAATAATACAAAATATGTTATAAAACCTTAAACCTAGGAAAATCATGAGTTACAACCTATATTCACTCATATATGTTATGTGTTTTTTAAACAATTCAATTTTAATAAATCTATAAACATCATTTAGGATTGTTTATAATTTTATTCTTCCAATTTATTTTCATCAAGATATTTTTATAAACTATATAAATTATTTTAAAAAGTAAAATACATGATAAGATTTCTCTAGAAGACTTCACTGACCTGACTAGATAGTTTGTAATTTTCACTACTTTTTAGACTATCCTTTAGCAATTAATACATTAACTTTATTACAATATTTAACCCAGACGACAGTGCCTAAGGAACAACTACAATATGTTTGTTTTAGGCCCTTAAATAATGTGATCTTAGTGCCACAAATTTGGTAATAAGTCTTTACAAAAATTTTAGGGTTAAATTTTTCAAAATTATTTTTTGAAAAGGTTATATTTCTGAAAAATTTCAGTCAATTACAAAATTAACATGTTTATTAGAAAATGCTTCTAGAGAAGTCCAGTCATTTTTTTTTGTTAGAGAATACTTCTAGAAAAGCTTAGTCAATATTTTTTTGTTAGAAAACAAAACTTAGAAAAACACACAAAATAGTCAATTTCAAAACTAACTAATGTATTGGCTAGAAGTCTTCTTCACGAAACAAATCTGAATGATTTGAATATCATTCTTAGATCCGGTAATATTTATGTTTAGCTTCTGCAACACACATGCATAGCTTCTTCATTAAAGTTACTCTCTCGTTCTTGATCAAGAGACATGAACTTATGTAACTCCAATAAGCTTATACATTTGAAATAAAAGGAGTTGGAATTTTGAAATAAAATGAGAGAGGAAGTAAACGATAAATGGTTTGTGTGTGTAACAAATTATGAGCATATGAAAATGTAGATGTCGACTTTAGGTGTATTTGGAGTTTGAAATTGATTGTTCATGATAGTTGGTGTATTAATAATAATGGAAATGTTGTAAACAAAAGAGAAAGATGTGGATAATAGAGTAAACCAATCATTTAAAAAATAAAAAAATAATGACATTTTTGTGAATAGTTAATTTCAGAGGTAAATAGAACAAATGAAAGATTTTAAAAATGAAACATACTTTTGCATTGAACCAAGAGTTTTAAATCTTATAACAAGTAGCCCTTAAAACAATGGTTTCATGCCCTTTTGCTCCAATCTTCACCACTTGTCTCTAATCCACTCTAACAGCTCCTAATTCACCAAGTAGCCACTCATATACCTGATATAGATAAATGTAAGCTTGTGTAACCTAAACAATATGATCACTATATTATTTTTTCCTTCCTGAGTTCCTGATGTGTAAATTATTTTACCTCTAATTAATGTTTTCCTTTCTTTCCCGAATGACTAAATACGTTTACATCTTGTATCTAATTCTTAGTAAGACCATCATAAATCTGCTTAGGACTGGGCAAAAAAAACCGGATCCAAAGAACCAAACCTGATCCGAAAAAGTAGTATCAAACCCGAACCGAAATTGATTCAATATTCGAATGGGTTTAAAATTTTGATATTTAAAGAAATATATTTATATACCTATATATATTAATTATTTAGATTTAATGTATATAAAAAACATTCAATTTATAAAATACTTTGAAGTTGTTCAAAATAAATATATGTAAATAGTTAAACATACATGTTTAAAATTGCTAAAGTACACTCAAAACATCAAAAATACTTTAAAAACTATTGATTCGCAATCCAAATATTCAAATCCGACTAATTTATATGTTAATTTTAGGTATTTTGACTTATGTTATTCAATTATTTGTAATATATTATTTTTGTATAGATTTTTAGAAATTTAAAGTATATAATCAATTTTAAAATTTTAAAAAATAATTTAAATGGGTTATCTGAACCCGAACGAACCCGCAAAGATCCGAGCCGAGTCTGAACCGAAATTTAGAAATATCCGAATGAGGCTAAAATTTGTGAATCCAAAAATCCGAAATCTGAATTGATCCGAACCGAACCCGAATGAGTACCCGAACGGGTACCCGAACGCCCACCCCTAAATCTGCTGGAATAAACCAAAATCAAAAGATTTGCAGATTGATTTCCCTCAAAAAGACAATTATAATTTGGCTTTATTTTTTTTACCTGAAAATTTCGCCTTCTGTCTTGGAAGAAGATAGAAGTCAACAAAGTGAAAGTCGACCAAGATAAAGCAAAGAAACTGTTCTAAATGACAAATGTTTTATCCAATGTGTGGCACTGGCAATTGGCTGTAGTCTATAGATTACTGAAAAGTACTGTTTTGTTTCAATTGGCACAGAGTCTGCTATTCAAACAGATCGTCTTGGAAATTGGCTTACAACTTTAATTAGAGTCACAATGTCAAAGTCAAACACATAAAACGTATCAAAAGCCATTGTCTATGTTCTCGTTAGTTATACTTTACACGATTCGTAGATTTGGAAAGGAAACAACGTGCAACCAGCATTGTTCGGCTTTGGTTTCAATCTGATTCGAATTTAACCTGATTAACCGAGGAAACTTAAAAGTTAAAAAAAGGTTTACTAGGTTAGGTACAAGACAGAAAAGGAGTAAGGAAGCTTCAAGCCTTCAACCCATTAAACTGAATTAATATGATTTTTGAACAACAAAAAGAGGTTTTAAGTCTACGATAGGAAGGGTTGTAAAATGTAATAAACAGTCGCTTCAAACTTGTAAAATGTAATTGTGTATTTATAATCTTAAATGAGCAATACTGCATTTTCATTAGACGTATAGTTTGCTGACAATCGATCACGTTACGACCCACTAAGCCCAAATAACCATTACATTTTCCAATAAAAGTGGACAGTCATTACCAATAAGCTTTGTAGAGAAGCTATTTAAACAGTTTCCATGTTCTTTAATTATGTATCTTAATCCAATTTATTATCCTCAACTGTAACCTGTACCTCTTTTCTTCTTCTATAAAATCCATTACAAGCCATGCATCTAAGCAATCAAGCTAGACCCATAACAACTTCTATATCTTTTCAAAATTCTAATAACAATCGGTCGTGAGAAAATAAAAAAAGTGGCCATGAGTTTCTCACCACTCACCAATCTCGTGCTTCTCTGTGCAGCTACGTTGCTTTTGGTCCACGCAAGTGCTCGCAATTTGCAGCAAATTCAGACTCTGCCTGTTCAAGGAGCTGCTTCACCTACCTTCAATGCCCCTCTGGACGACCGTAAGAATTTCATAGTTGGCGGTGCTGCTGGAGTTGGAGGATTCATGGGGATGCCTGGTGGAACCGGTATGACATTCCCGCTTCCATCCGGGACACCGCTTCTTGGTGGGTCCGGTGCGTTTGGTGGCTTGGGCGGTGCAATGGGGTTTCCTGGTGATGGATTTAATGGCGGTGGTTCTGTTCCGAGTTCAAGTGGTGGTCTCGTGTCTCCATGAGAGAGTGAGACAGAGAGAAACTAAGATGGTTGGTGTCTAGCATTAAGATGTGTTTCGTTTCTTTTGTACGTGATCTGAGTTTCGATCATATTTTGTTCTTGTTGTTTTAGTGTGTTGTTGTCTTTGGCTGAATTTCTTCATCACTTGTTTGTTGTTGTTGTTGTTGGTATGCTTGTGTTGTTATGCTTGTGTTGTTTTCTCTAGTAACTTTAGTTTTTATTTGAATCTTGTAAAATGATGTATCATGTATGGTAACGTACAAGTCGAAAAAAACTGAAATGTCTAGGAAAATTGTCCATGATTCCAAAGGCCAAGATAAGCTAACTTAATATAGCTTGATATGGAATTGCAGAAATTTCTACTTGGATTTGTTAAATGTTGATTCTACTTCAAAGGCGTCTTCTTGTTAGAATTTTTCAATTCGAACCAGCCTAACAAAAAGTTTAGTTAAACGCAATGCAGATAAATATAAAATTACACTGGTACATGGTCTTGTATCAACACTACCATGAGTATTTTTGGTCTATGACCTTATAATGGTGTAATACAGATTTTTAGTGAGATAAATATTTGGGCTGATCTGCTTGAAAACTTTTGGTTTAATTGTGTTATAGTATAGTCTGCCTTTCTTGTATTCGCATATATTGGGACAAGAAAAAAAAAAAAAAAAAAACGTGCTTAGTTACATATTTCGCCGTCTAGAATCTGACTCAGAATCTGCTGTTTTCCTTTACTTTTTTCCTGAGGCCTTGTGCAGTGGCTTCTCTTTGCTTGGCAGTGTTTTCTTCAAAGACTCTCTTCCACATAGGGATCCAGCTTTCTCTAGCAACTGTGAGCTCATCCAACTTCTGATTCAACCGGATTAAGATGACAGGTAAAGCCCTCTTGTGGTTTTCTCTCACAATCTCAGACATATCTCTACAGTATAGCCTTTGGATGCATCTGTAGAACTTCACTCCGAGATCTTCTACGCTCATCTCCTCTGCTATTACTTTCTCAGCATTCTCCACTGCACTTTTCAGAGTTTCCATCAGCACATCAGCCTCAAACATATGATCTTCACATCTCGCCATTGCTTCTTCGTATTTGCTCTGTTTCTTAATCCCTGACGGATCATCAAACTTTATCAGAGTGTACTTGTTGTTCAGTACACTGTTTGATACGGGACACCGTTCTTCCTCAGGGATAAGCTTATAGCTAGGTGTCACTCTTTCTAACATTCTCGGTTTCTTCAGAGTCCTCTCAGCCTGTTCCGGTTGCAAGATTCTTCTCTTCTTTCCTTCCAACTTTATCTTGTCTACGTCTTTCACCAACTCTGGCTCTTCAGAAACCCTAATCTCAGTCTTTGGATCTTCTTTCGATTTCTCACCTACGCTAGCCCTAATCCCAAGATAATTTTGTTTAACCTTTGGATCACGAAGAAGACCATCTTCTCGTATCTCACCTTCTTCAAGTTCAAGACCCGTATCTTCAAGGGTCTTTCCATGATCATCTTCTTGACCCTTGGTCTTGTACAAAAGTGAAACAGATTTGCGGAGCTGGCTGAGTTTGATTTTTTGCTTACCGAAGTCTTTAATGGAGGAGACTAACTTTAGAAACTCGGAAGGACCCAGGTCCTCACTGACCATCTTACAGAAGTTCTCGAGTGACTCAACCTCAACCTCACTCATATCTTTATCTTCTTGAGACTTCGTGAGAAAATCTGTGAAGCATCGGCGAAGAAACTCGTCCTTCTTGAACAGAACCAGAGCAGATACTATGAGTTGGTTCTTGTCAATTCTTTTGCGATTAGAATCTATCAGTAAGGAGGCGAGCGTTTTGAGATCCGGCGGGCTTAGTCTCTCTTTGAAGATACTCCATAACTCGAGCACGTTCTTCTTCGCCATCCCTTCTAAAGCTTTCTTTTGAATCTTATTTCTTCCTTGTTACGCACGCGAGTACTCTTTATATTGATGCTGTTTAGCTAATTTTTTTTTTAATTACAGATATTATCCTGCTGAGTAGTCATGTATATCTCCTTATATATCGGATGATAAAACATATAAGAAAAAATTGGGAAAAAGAGACATCTTGAACTAGGATTTGGAAAAGTAAGATTTCTACAATATTTTTTAGTTAACTAGGATTTATATTTTTTGTAATACCATTATACCCTTTAGTTTATATAATAAAAATTCAATTTCGTAATATATAAACAAAATCGAAAAAACAAAATAAAAAACCAGGAAAACTTTAATCGAGGAGTAAAACACATCATTTCACATTTACCCTAATTTCACCCTTTTCTCTTCTTCCCCGAAACCTTCAGACAGCGATAATGTAGATTTAGGGTAACTCATGTTTCTTTCTCTTTTTACTTGTTTATCATCAAAATTTTACTCTTTAATCATGTTTTCTCCTTATTCTCTTTGTTCTCAGACACAAATCAAATAGATTTGTTCTTCGATCAAAAGATTTCGTTCATCCGATCTTCTTCTTCCTACTACAAGTTTCGTCGGAGGGTCCTTTCACACTCTGTCTCAAGGTTCTCATCAAAATCTCACTAGGTTTTCGATTATTTCTTTTGATTATGTTAACCCTAAATTTCTTAAATCCAATTGGTTTATTTGTTAAACTAAAATTACTGTATGAGTTGATTAAGCTTCTTATGAAGTCATGCATGTTAATATTTTTGACACGATTTGGTTTATTTGTTAGACCCGGTTTGGTTGATTTGCTAAACTATAAGCTACTTGTTTCAGTTGATTAAGATTCTTACCGACTACGATTTGTGATTTGTATTTGTATAGTATCTATTTAGGTTTGTTTCAAAGAGGAAAATATGAAAATGGCTTATATTCATGTAGTAGTCACTAGAGCTTAGTTTCTGCCGTTGTTTGAAAGTAATGTTCTGTGAATTTAATTGTCATGAGAGCTTAATTTATGTTGTTGTCCGAAAGTAATGTTTTGTGAATGTTATGTTTTTCTATGAATGTAATGGTGTTGTCTGAAATCTTACTAATAGGAACATGTACTTTAAATTATGCAGAAGTAAAGGTACTTTGTTGTTCTTTTATTTCTTTCTGGTTACATGAGATTGATAGCAAATGAGTTTTTACCTTGACCAAGGACTAGCTTAGAATTGTGTCTAGACCTATAGGATATGAATGATTGCTTGAAACTTCACCCTAGATAATAATTTGATCACCCAAAGTCAATACCCTTATCCATATGCTATTTTATCTCATTGAAACCAAAGCTTAGTTATTCTTGTTTACATATTGTTTGTTACTAGTTACTTATAAAACAAACTCTCATTGATTACATTTAGATTAAACAATGTCTTGCATTCTACTTACTTTCTTACATTGATTTGCTATATGGCTTAAAAACCCTTATCAGTTTCCTAACAATTCAAGCCATTTATTGTATAAACATATATATGGCATTAATTCTAACCTATAGTATACGCAAATTATGTGATCAAAGGATTAGTTAAGGCAAGTTAGAGTCAATCCTACATTTATATGTAAATTAGAATATATTTGTGGTTCAATGTTTTTTCCTTTTATGTATATACATTTTCTATACTTATCGTTTGCAATTAATTGTGCTAACCTTGGTTTTCTTATGCCTTTTACCAAGAAATAAACATTGGTTCTTCTATATAAACATCAATATATTGGTCTCATTCATTCCATCCCAACATAAATGTTGGAATGCCGTATTCAAAAAACAAAAAAAAACAAAATCGGTTTATGCTAACTATGTTAAATGAGATTTTGGGACATATTATCCATTTAAATTTATCGTCAATATTTACTGTTGTACATTATGATTAAGGTAGAAACTATATACTCCCTCCGTATTTAAATGTAAGATGTTCTAGATTTTTATCTTGTATACAAAAGATTGACGTTTTAAGATATAATTAATGCATTTATCTTTAAATTAAATTTAAATTAAAAGATAAAATTATGAGTGGTTGAATTTTATTGATAAAATCAAGAAAATAATAACTAAAAAAGTTAATTACTTACTTGTTAATATATGTGCATAACATTAAACATCATACTTTTAAATCTAGAGGGAATATAATGAAATTTATGTTATCCTGATAATATATTATTGATCTCACCCGCGCTTCTATGCGGATCTCTACCTAGTAGAAGAATAAAAAAGAAGTAGAGGAAGAATTTTACCAAATAAAGAAGCTGATGCAGAAGAAAAAAATGAAGAAGATGACAATCGTGAAAAAAAAAATTCTGTTTAGTTTTATGTCTTTCTGTATGTCTTATTTTTTTAAAATATTGTAAATATATAACCAAATATTTTCTAAATCTTAAATATATCTACAAAATCTCATTACTGCAAACCTATAATCGTAGCATTAGACACATGTTGCTTACAAAAGGGATAGTAAAGTCAATTTCATAACCACTATTCCTTTCTAAGTTTTAATGTTCTTGACATTTATTTAATTTCACACCCTTCCTTTGTTTTCTACCAAATTAACTCTAGAATTTATTGAGTTTATCAGCGAAACGGAAAATTTCCTAATTTTGGTCTAAAAAAGGTACATGTGCCCAATTATCCGTACAAAAATAATAATATAACATGGATATGTTTTTTGATACTTTTTTGTATATATATATATATATATATATATATATATATATTAGTAGTTGTAGTTATAGTGATACGATACTTTGGTTAGTTCTCTAAATTTCCAGCCATGTTAAAGAAGCAAAATTTGGAAACGAGATCAGTATGCAAGGAGAATGCATATATTTTGGTTAATTTTTTATTATTTTCGAAAAGATTAGTATGCCATTGGCTTGACCAGCAATTATTGTATATATCGATTTAGGCAACCAAGTTCACATAACTATTATTGAACTTACTTCAAACATTACACAAAAACAAAAACAACATACTTGCGGTAAATATTAAACATCCAGACAAAAGAAAAGAAAAAAAGGGTGCGATCATCATGCCATTGGCTCGACCACCAGCAATTATTGCATATATCGATTTACGCAACCAAGTTCACATAATGATTATTGAACTTACTTCAAACATCCACACAAAAACGAAACCAACATAGTTGCGGTAATATTAAACATCCAGACAAAAGAAAAGAAAAAAAGGGTTGCGATCATCATAACTTAAAACCACAAAATAAAGAGGATATGTGCTTCTCTTTTATTCTACTTGGCAGCAGAATTCTTAGCCAAGCGCAAGCGATTCTCCCTTGCCGAGCGTTCCACGGCAGAACCTAAAACAAACAAACAGGCGAATTAAATTCAAAATTTAGTTTTAGTTTGCTAAAGGAAAAAAAAAAAGAATCAAGAATCAAATTTACGTACGCGGGATAGTGTAGCCCATCTTGATACTTTTAAGCAATGGCAAAACCCGAGTAACTACAAAAGTAGTAAAGCCTTCCACATGATGACTTCCACTAAGTTCCAGCGCCTTCTCAACATTGGCATGTCCAAAGGTATAAATGCGAGCAGTGCTGTAAAAAAAGATCATAACAGTTAGCAAATTGATCATAACTTAAACTAAAAGGAAATTCAGAAGCCGCAAACCTTTTGAGAGTGCGAATGCCGCTGCTGTAGTCTCCGTAAACAGAAACACCTTGTACACGGAGATGTTTATCTAGAGCTGTATGGATATCAGCCTTAGTAAGGGAAGTGTCAAAACCCGTAATTTCAAACCTAACAATTTTATAGATGATATTAGCAACAGGGCAAAGAAGAACAGATTTATCTTACAAAGAAAAGCAAATTACACGCGTTGTGTGGATTGGTCTGCGGCAGACATAGGAGGGAAGTAATCATCATGGTCTTGTTGGTGAAACGGGTAAGACTCAGTGCGTACAATCCGTCCTCCCATGTCACTTCCATTAAGCCTCAACGCCTCTTCTTGACCTTCTCCGCTGTTAACATAAATGAAGGCGTATCTGTGTACAAACAAACAAAAAAGAAGCAAGTTTATTTTTTTAATAGTAAAAAGCAGTTTAACTTGAGGAAGAAGCCACAACCTGCTGAGAATAGCATTCTGAAAGTTTGTGGGAAGATAAACATCTAATATGTCTCCACATGAAGCGAAGTGCTCTCTCAAAGCCTTATGGACATCTGCCCTAGGACGAGAGATGTCGTGTCCCTCAACTAAAATCCTGCTAATGCTGTTTCTAAAAGATATTATTATTATCACCATGAACACACCATCTAATTAATTGGATATTCAAATCTCGAAAAGAAAACCAACCGGCTTGTTCGGTTCTCTGCATCACTACCGTTCAATTCCACACCCTATACGTCACAAAACATCTAATCATCTAAGAAGAAATAACTACTTCGAAAAACAGAAAGCGATAAGGATCCAAGAATAATTACTTTGATCGCGGATTCGTCCATGGCGACTGCGCTAGGTTTTTCGAGCGGGCGATAAAGATTGTTAGTTTCTTTCCACATCTAAAATTCTAGGTCTTTAAAGAGAGTCCTGTCTTTTGGTATATATATGTTAACAATTATGACTTTTAACATAAAAACCCCTCGACTAAGTTTGTTTTGGGTAAAAACCCCTAAACGAAGTATGTAATGAAACACAACCCCAACTAACTTTACTTAATGAATTAAACCTTTGCCGGTCATAATTACCAGTACTACTGGTAAATCTTTAGTTTAAGAGTTTTAGAATTAAACATAAAAAATAAATAAATAAAAATAAATAAAAATAGAATAACCTTATCTAAAAATGTGTAATTTTAATTTTCAAAATTAGCATTTTCAAAATTTCTGTAAATATATGAGTGATTTCTTATCTTTTTAAAATGGATTTTAACTCTAAAATACCTCAACTAAGTTTGTTTTGTAGGCCTGGGCATCCGGGTCCTCGGGTCGGGTTCGGGTCGGGTCATGTCGGGTCCAGGTCTTTCGGGTCTTGGAAATTTAGACCATAAGGGTACCTATGCTTTTTCGGGTCGGTTCCGGTCGGGTCTTGCCGGGTCCGGGGTTCGGGTCTATAATTCCAATACCTATAAAATACCCGTAATTTTCGGATCCATATCGGGTCCGGATCGGGTCCGGGTATTTAGAATCTAAAAAATACATAACATACTCAAACTCACTCAAATTCAGTCAATATTTTTCATATATATCTAAAATTTTATAAAATAACTTAATTTAAACTATTAATAATTAAAGAAAACATTTTTAAACTCTAAATTTTACATTTTAAAACTTTATATTACTTAAAAATGTTACAAATAATAATAAATATTGTTAACAAAATATATTTCAACTAAATTATAAAATAGTATAGATATATAAAACATAACACAAAATAATAGTTTTGGATATACATGTTTAGAAGTCGGGTACAAATCGGTTCTTATCGGGTCGGGTCTATTTGGGTCGGTTCTTTTCGGGTCCGGGTCTATTCGGGTCGGTTCTTTTCGGGTCCGGGTATATTCGGGTAAAAGAAATTTAGACCCAATAGGTACTTGTAAATTTCGGGTCGGGTTCGGGTTGGGTATTTTCGGGTCGGTTCCGGTTCGGGTCTTCGGGTCCGGGTAAAATGCCCAGGCCTAATGTTTTGGGTAAAAATCTCCAAACTAACAAGTAAACCTCCATATTAAGTAAACATAATTGAAGGGTTTTATCATTAAAAATAACAAAGTAAAACTAGAACATTATCTAAAATTAGTAACTTAAATTTTTAAAATTAGCATTTTAAAAACTTTCAGTAAATATATGAGTTTGATTTATTTTAACATCAACATTATATATATATATATATATATAAATTAAAATTGTAAAACACCAAAATATAATAAAAATCATCTACAGATTTATTATTACATTTTTATTAGATAAGATATAATTTTTATTCTGTTTTCTTGTTTTTTATATTTATAACTTTTTGAAAATTTTTTATTACAGATAGATATTTATATAATTTTTGTTATATTTTCTGGGTTTTTACATTTTAAATTTATACATATATGATGTTGATTTTAAAAGGATAACAAATCAGACTCATATATTTACAATTTTTTTTTTAAAATGATAGTTTTGAAAATTCAAATTACAATTTTTAGATAATTTAATCATTTTTTTATTTTTTTTAATGATAAAATCCCTAAACTAAAAATTTACCGGTAGTACTGGTAATTATGACCGGTGATGGTTTAATTCACTAAATAAAGTTAGTTTGGGGGTTTTTTCGTTAAATACTTAGTTTATGGGTTTTTACCCAAAATAAACTTAGTTGAGGGGTTTTAGTGTTAAAAATCCTAACAATTACTAGATTTCGATTAACAATTATCATTTATCAATAAAGATCTAGTGTTTCAAAAAGTATTAGTTTAATCAAATTAAATTATATTAAATTAAATTATATTTGTGTTATTTTCTTAATCTTATTTGTGTTTAATATTAGTTTAATTTAATTTAATATAATTTTTGGTAACTGTATTAAATATGTCAAGTTGCATAACTATACACTTATGTCATATGCATTTCATAAAATGTTTTTAAATTTATTTCTAAAGTTTACAACATATTATATTTTAATATTAGTTTTTTTTGAAACATATTTTCTTATTAGTTACGTAACATAACTAGTTAAGAATATTCGTACCCAAAATATCTAACTCGGAATCAACTCGAAAATCAAAGTTTAATACTCTATTAGATCTAGCCTATATACTCAAACGATTTTTAAAGTGTTATATCTGAAAATCAATATCAAATCCAACCTGCACCAAAAATTGGTCAAAAATCTTGAAAATTGTTTGAAAATATATTTTATTAAATATACATACATATAATATATATATGAATGTATGATTTTCAATAATTTAAGTAAAATCATATTTACTGTTTTTTAATCGAATAGTCTATTCAAAACCCATTAAACTAATACCTGTAGAATTTATTAAACTAAATAATATCAAATACAAGTTAATATATACTCAGAATTTAAATTAGATATTGGCCATATAATTAGGTACCAAATAGAATATGGTTACATTATATATTTAGATGTTATCTTCTAGGAAATTTAGATGAATTTTTAAAATATGTTGATTGAAGTAAATATTAACTAACGATTTGATGCTATCACGTATTTTTCTCATCTTTATTTAAATTTAGTTTTTGCTTGATTAAATAAGATAATTTATCTTTAAATAGAAAAGTGGATCTCGATTATTATGCTGAAGTGAGGGTTACATCCACAATATATAACTCGATGTAGTTAATTGTTTTAGGTATAGTTAGTTGAAAATAATTAGTTGGACTAAACATTTATTGATTGATCATGTTTCTAAATTAATAGAATATATTAAATAATTTAATTTACTTAATCATGATTTTTATTGTATTGGTCTAAATCTTAATCTGTTTTGAAAATTGTAAATTATTAAGTTATATATATTTGCTATGATTTTTATTCATGGGCTGCTGGTAGTTGTATATCATGATAATAACAAATATTTATAATTATATATTATAAAGCTAACGCTGACAAACAAAATATTATTATGCTAACAAATATTATATATTTTTGTCTAAAACTAACAAAAGTTATTAAAAGTGGATTTGCATTTGGGCTGTATAGGATTTTATAGTAATGATTGTACGTGGAATAGTTGATCACCATCAAAAGAATATTTCATGAAGGCTATATAACGTTTGAGTTTTGTAATATTCTACCTCAATATTTTTTTTAATAGTATGATGTACATTACAGTTAGTTCAAAAAAACGAATATTATGGTTGCATAAGATTCGTTGTTAATGGAAGTTGTTAATGTGGATGTAGTTATAAACTATGTTGGACTAAACCTATCTTTCAATCTATATCAATTTTATTGATCAAGTGACTTGTGCTTTCAAAGAACGGAATTGTTTTTGAAATAAATTAAAATTTTCTTTGATAAATTTATATTTTAATTGTGTATTTATATTTAAAAGTTACAACAAAAGCATTATATGTATATAAATCTATTATATAAAACACAGTTTACTCTCTCCTTAGTGTGTCCACGTAGGATGACACCTAGGAAAGGCCACGTCAGCTGAGCCTTTTGTTGTTGGGCCGCGCTGCATACTCCGTCTGGGCTTCGCAAATTCTTTCTGGCCCGTCTTCCTTTTGGTTCACCTGTGGCAAAACTCATCGCACAAAGACGGCGACTTTCTGATTCTCTGCATCATCACGAACCGCTAGCGTTAAGGCTTCCCGATTAATCACCTTTCTCCTCCACTACGTTGCAATCGATGCTTCGTTTTCTCGATCTGTATAAATATGTGTGAGTCTTCTTTTCTTTGATTTTATTTTCTCTTCCTAACTCTTAAATTTCTATTCACATGGCTAATACGAGGGTTCCCTGCTCCGATCTGAAGCCCGGAAAATGCTCCTCCGTCGTCGAGACTAGGCTCCTCCGGCTCTAGGAGGCCAGAAGTTTCAGACGTGGTGGTGAGCTGATGCGTCTAGATATGCTACTGCTGGATTTCAATGTAAGCCACACTAATCACTGTGAATCTCTTTATTTATCACCCTATTTGGTTGTGAGTGTGTGTTTTTTTCAAGAAAAACGATACAGCTCTTACTGTGTTCTAGATTCTTAGATGTCTGGGACTGGACCTTTCTTTTTTGAAAAGAGAAAAACATCCATGTCTGTCTGTGTCTCTTTTGTCCCTCTTATAATTATCTGAATCTTTTGTTATTTTTGTAAAAGAAGAACCCGAAACGTTTCAGTCTGTTCTTTGTCACTTTGGTATATCAGTGTTAATCTCTTTATATATGACCGTATGTAGGTTGTGAGTATTTTTTTTCTTTTAGGAAAAATGATTCATCTGTTACTGTCTTTTAGCTTTTAGATGTCTGAAACTGAATGTATCTCCTTATAAAGACAAAACCCGATCCATGTCTGCCTTAGTCTCTTATGACCGTATGTTTGTTGTTAGTATTCGTTTTTAAAAGAAAAAATATCCATCTGCTACTGTATTTTAAGTATCGATTCTGATATGTGCTTCAAAAATGTTGCATGGGATTATTATGCCTGCTAATACCAGTACTGATCATCTTCCATAATGCGCAAGGCCAATATATATGTATATAGATTGAAAGTTAGAGATTCCGGTCTCTCTTTAGCCGCACCATTCTTGAGAGAGATTCCAGAAGTCGAACATGTGACAATGTCTCAGCTCAATAACTTTGCCGTCATCGCTGTGTCTGAGGTGGCTTAGCTAACACGTTCTTTTGTTGTTTGGATAGTGTGTTCTGACTATGGTTGTCTTATAGGAAATTGAGTTCATTTGTGTTGGGAGAGTTGCTTGAGTCGATCCTGAGAAAGGATGATGTTACATTGCTTGCTCTAGATGCAGCAGGGAACTCCAGCGCAGTAGCTTTGGTTTTGCATTTGTCCGATGCCACACTAATAACGCCATTGGTGCTCTATGTATAAATCGTGGTTTTCCATGCAGACATAACACTGTCTTTTTTTTAATAAAGATAGATTACTATTACAATGACCTATGCTTATCTTCACAGTTACCGAGTAGGGCTTTCTATCGTTGATGACACCGCTGAAGGTACCTTTGTCTGTTTTGGTGGTGTCATGACAAAGTTGCATAAGCTTGAGGCACGCGAGGCTGGTCAGATGTTGGTGAGCTTCGATTTAACTCTTATTAAGTTTATTATATACCCATCTGTAACGCTGCTACTTTCTTTTCCCTAGGTTGAATAGGGTGTCAACCCTGAAGACTCTCCACTTCCTTCGTTCATTACAGACATGAATGGAAATGGAAAGACATACACTTTCCAAGTTAGGTTGACTACCTATAATTTCACAACAAGCCGTCAAACGTTTGCTATCACACGCATTCTTGGTGAGCATCCGCGTCTCCCGCTTCCTGATCTCATCGACAATGTAAGTCTACCGTATTATGTTGTTGCATTGTTTGACTATGTGTTGGTTGCTCATACCTTCCGTATGTATCAGCTGATAACCCAATGCCTCCTACATCCGATTCTGGAGGGAGCAGTGGTGACACAGCTTCGCAAGTCGTGAAGTGGCTACGTATGTCTTAAGATATTAATATAGATTGAAGTACTATGTTTTTGAATAATGCTTATGCATGTGTGCATGTGTTCATGTGTTCTCCAGTTTACGAATTGTTTAACCTTTTTTCCACGCTTTTCCATTACGTGGATAATTAATGTTTGAGTCAGTTGTTGTCCTATTTCCTTATTATGAAAGAGTTTTTGTCAATGTACGTATCCTATTACATATCATGCTCATTTGTTTTCTAAATTCTATTGTCAACAAGTCTTATTATGGTCAATTATGTTATACGCCTTTCGTGCTCATTCATCTAAAATTTTATATATATATATATATCGATTTTCCAGTTGATGTTAAGTTATTTGATATTCGATAACTATCTGTGATCATTAAACTTTTGTTTTTTTCGGTAAAAAACAATATACACTCTTACTATAGTAACACACAGTAATTAAAAGTTTCAAACGTAAATACACAATAGCATATAATCAAATCAGTAAAGATTTACATGAAATCAAATTTAGAAACGGAGGATCCCTGACTTCCACGAAATTTGAACACACGGTAATTAAAACGAAATTTGAACACAATAACACACAGTAATTAAAACGAAAAAACACTATATCAAATAATCAAATCAGATTATATGCCTTAACCTCTGCACCTTCATTTTTATATGTACAATCTACATCTCTTGGAGCCCGAAGTTATTCTTCATATTAGATGCTTGTATTGTGACAATTTGACACGATGAGTCCACTTGATCACATATACGTGCATTGGTCAGATAATATAAATCAAATTCTGCACGGTCCATATAAGATCTCCAAAAGAACATTTTTATATAAGTCTCAAAAACCCTTCGTAGAAAACTTATAAGTATTAAGTAAATTACTACATTGTAGAAATATAGCTACCCCAAAGGATATTCAATACTTTAATAAACTTGGTTTTACCAAATCAGTTTCTTTTACATATTGAAATTCATACGCTTTGCAAAGATCTAATAATCTATTAATAACGTATATTAATATTTAGGAACGTAGGATCCCTGCCTATTACGAGACCGATTAAATATGTAAACAAGTACTTGAGGGAGTTGTGTCTTGAAAACTGCAACCCCGAAGCACACTATATTGAGGGGATCAATCAGTTTTTTTTTTTAAATCGCAAATCCGACGAAGCACTGAACCACCTTTGCAATTCCGCAAATGGAAATTACAACAAGGATACGTATCTTTGTGGTTTATTGCTTCTCTGTACAGGAAAAATCCGAGAGGCGAAAAATTCTTAAATACCCTAGATTGGGAACACTCACTACCTTTATCCAAGCATTGCTGGAGGGAAATTAAAAAAAAAAACTTTGTCCCTATCCTATTCATATGGAGGATATATATGTAAGGAGTATGGCAAGACTCACGCCTCCAACGCGTTGTGACCTCCAAAACGTGAATCATCTATGCAAGAAATGTTACTACTTCTTAAGAGTTCAGAAATTTGTCAATTACATTGCTTTTAGAAATCTTTAAGATACAATATTTTAGTCAATATGTTTCCAGTCTGAAATAATATATTTCTGACCTTTATTTAATTACCTACTATGAAATTTGTTTTTCTCCATGTTATCAATATTAATAAAATAATTTTGAATTACAAATAACAACAGCATAATTACAATTATATATTTCGAATTCCTGTATATAACACTGTCAGATTAGAACTATACTTGAAAAAAAGTCGTATTATTGCTAAATCTTATATATAAAAATAAATCATTATATTTCATCCAGCGCATCAATCAATTCCGCGCGTAGCGCGGACCGGCCCTAGTTATTATATATTTAATGTTCTAACAAAAAAAATTGATTATGGAATATGCAATCAGATTTTAGAATGATACGTAAATATAAATAACAAAATTAAAAATATGTAATCATGTTTGACTGTAATAAAGGTCCACTAAAAATGTGATTAATTAGTTGTAGCTGTTATATTAATTTAGTCGAACATGCACCTCATTTATTTGAACTTGTCATATCATTTTATAACGTGGATTTTTATTTGTATAGGGATGAGTAGTAGGTCCCAAAAATCCCTTTCTTATTAATAGAGAAGCATTTTTAAAAAATAATCTTAATTTTGTAAATAATTAACAAGTTTGCCATTATGCATATGTGTCAACACCACAAGCCTTCTCACACCACATATTAAACAATTCTTTATTTACTAGAAAAATTACAACATATGCCATTAACCCTCTATTTATTTATCATTTATTATATCCTTTATCATATAGTATTTCTAAATCAATTGTTTTTATTATTTACCAACTAATCCTTTTGATTTTTAGGTTTATTTGCAGATACTAAAGAAACTTGTCGCCAGTCAATGGCTAACTGATGCCCCCTCACCCTAAAACCTGGTGGTATGTTTGCTTCTTCGAGTTTCTCTGGCCAAATTGTACGATCTTGATGTATAATAAGTCAATGACATAGCTGTACGTATTTTTTGTGAATACACTTTAGTTTCATCGTTATTTTGAGTGCACGAAAATGGTTGTTGCAATGGAAGATTCCAATATATCTTTTTAAGGTCGAATACGACCTGAAAAATGCTACAAAAAGCTACTGCATGGAGTTCTACAATTCTAATATAGTGGTAGCCAACAAGGTATGTGATTTCAGGGTACCATGCTTTGCCTCCTGTGCCATGAAAAAACTTTAATTTCTGAATTCTGATTTGGTATGTATCTTTTTGTCTAACTTTGCTTTGGGGTGAAGGATTTTCTGGTATGTTTTACAGTCACAATTTTTACTTGAAATAGTTCCCACCCTTCTACTGATATTCGATTTTTGATTGATTATCCGTGTTAATGTTTGTGTATATATTTATATTAGAAGTTACAAAATTACACTATATATATAGTCACTAATCAATTATAGTAATCTAAATTAATGTCTGATTAAGTGTTTTTAGATATGATACAGAATTGTAGACTATTGCTTATCAAAATATATTAGTTTCTTTTACCAAAAAAAATATATTAGTTTAGATGTATTGCCACAGACCTCATAGAAGAGAGAGAGGATCTCATTGTATATTGGTGTTATCTGCTTGGTGTCGAAGCAGTGTCTGAAGTAGTTTCCGATGGAGTCTGATGTGGACTTAGATTGGTGGCGTTAGAGTTGGCGTTTTGTGTGGTGGAGTTTCCATCGTGTCTAGCTCGTGGTGAGCTTTGAGTGTGTTTGGGTGATCAAGCGTTTAGTGTCACTGGTGTGCGTTTGGTGCTGACGTACTTGGTGAAGTACTTCTGAGATGTGGAAGATTGAAGCCTAGACTCAGGGGGAGTTTAGCAAAGGCGGTCTTATTGAAGAGGTCTGTGAAGATTGCAGCTGTAGAAGACAGTGTGCTCTGGCATGCCCAGATGCTGTTGTATGCATGAGTGCTGATACCTAATCTTTGTAGATTGTTTCTTAGAAAAGAGTGGTAAACACTAATGTGTGTGTTGTACCATATAGCAATTGTAGGTTGCTCCTTGTTCTAAGTCAATAAAATCTGGACGAGGTCCTAGGAATGTAGGAAACGAACCTCGTTAACAAATTTGATGTATCTTACTTTCTGCAAAAAAAAAAAAAAATGTATTGCCATATCAGATTCCTAATTGGTGATATATATAGAAACTAGCCATTGGCTAATATAGCGTGGAAGCTCCCATTGTAACTTTCTTTTTTTTTACAGAGTGCAACTTTGAACATACAATATTCTTATATTTGATTTCTAAATAGATAGAAACATCAACTTGTGTGTAAGTTTCGTTTCCAAAAAGCAATAATTTCATATGTACGAAGTCACACAAAATTGTATGAGTTCGTTTTTTTTTGCATTTTAATCACTGCTTTTTGCAAATACTTTGTTGTATATATCATCACCTAGTATAGGAATTAAAAAGGAAGGTTACCATATATAAAATTATAAATAGGTAGAAAAATGTAGAATATTGGCGGTTGGTTTATTTCTTTTATATAGACCCAGTAAATAAAAATAATAATAATTGAACTATATATATATCAACTGGTCATAATCCAATTTTAATAGAATGGATTTAACCAATCTTATTATTAGAATGATATAAATATTTTAATATGAATGATGTAACTTGATAAAAAAAAAGATATTATACATTAGTAAATATTAATGTTATGCAATTATAGGGTATGGCAAGTTATTACTGAATTTTTTTAATTGACTGTTCTCCACGTATTATTCTATCAAACAATGAAACATGTTTAGAAACATTCTGAGATGAAGTAAAAAGACATTTATTTCATTTATATTAGAAAATATTAATTATTGGCCACTAAAAGGAGTTAAGAAATGAGCTTAGTCCATTTTAAATGATAAAAAAATTATGACATGTCAAATATCATAAATATGCTGAAATATATTAAAGAATTGCAGATTGTTTCCCTCAAAAATACCTTCATACTCCCTCCGTTCCTTAAAGATACATATTCTAGGAAAAAAATTTGTTTCTAAAAGATCCATTTTTTACATTTTCAAGGTATGTTTTATTAAATAATTGTAAATTTCAAAAAACTTAATTGCACTATTTGATTTTTGATTGGTTTAAAATTATAGAAAGAAGATAAATACAAAAAACTATGCAAATTTATTGTGTTTTNAAAGATCCATTTTTTACATTTTCAAGGTATGTTTTATTAAATAATTGTAAATTTCAAAAAACTTAATTGCACTATTTGATTTTTGATTGGTTTAAAATTATAGAAAGAAGATAAATACAAAAAACTATGCAAATTTATTGTGTTTTATTAAAAAGTGTGCAAAAGCTAGAAAATGGATCTTTTAGGAACAGAGGGAGTAAAATTTACTTTGTTTGTTTAACCTGAAAACTTCGCCTTCGGTCTTGGAAGAAAATAGAAGTGAACAAAGTGAAAGTCGACCAAGGTTTAAAGTCCGGTTCAATATCTGGATTGAAGTCACTGAACGTTAGCGTCTTAGCAATTGGTAAATAAACTAAAACGGAGTTGAAAGTAACTCCATCTTGATTAGTGGGCTTTATGTTAAGAAAATTAAAATGTAGGGACTATTTTCAGAAACTGGAAATCTTCAGTTCTGCTTTTCAAGCTTCACTTCTCCCGTTAATCTCCGAGGATGGAAGTTTCGTTTAGGCAAAAGGTCTGTGAGATTGATGAAGAGTACTGTATGATGTTCATTCAAAATGTTCCAGTCTGGGATTATATATAGACCATCCAAATACAGCTACATGAGTGTTTGGATAAGATTAACGCTAACTCTGAGTAAATTAATTATGTCTATTGTAATGATGTATATACAGATACAGATAGAGATTCAGGTGGAAAATTATTACATGCTTGTGGTACAATCTACCTTTTATAACTCTACCTTCTTCATATGTTGTAACATAACAACATAGTCTTCACAAGAATAATTTAAAAAAAAAGAAGTAAACCATTTTACATCTACCTACCTAAAATCTGATTCATTGTTTATTTCCGGTGGCCTTGTGCAGCAGTGGCTTCTCTTTCTCTCACAATCTCAGACATATCTCCACGGTATAGCCTTTGGATGCATCTATAAAACTTCACTCTAAGATCTTCTACACTCATCTCCTCCGCTATTACTTTCTCAGCATTTTCCATTGCACTTGTAAGAGCTCCAATCAACATATCAGTCTCAAACATGTCATCTTCGCATCTCTCAATTGCTTCTTCGTACTTGGTCTGTTTCTTATGTCCCGAAGCAACGTTAAACTGCACCAAAGAGTACTTGTTGTTCAGACAGTTCAGTTCTGGTTTGTGTGGGTTGTTTGGGAGAGGAAGTTGTTGTTCCTCAGGGATAAGCTTATAGCTGGGTGTCACTCGATCTAACCTCATAGACTTTCTTTGTTTCTTTATAGTCCTCTCAATAGGTTCCGAGTGAATTATTTTTCTCTTCTTTCACTCAGAAACATCTTCTTTAGAGTTTTCATCTATTTTAACCCTAATCCTAACGTGGGCTCCACTCTTCTTCGGGTTCTCATCTACTTTAGCCCTAACAATTGTTAGTGGTGGTGAAGATGCTGTTCTCAGGATCTGGGATTCTGAGGTAAATTCAAAAGTTGCTTCAAGGGGTTTTGGCAGTTATTGACTCTAAAGATAATGGTACTGCCATTGTTGTTGCTAGACTGGAAAATTGCTCAAGGAAACAGATAAGGAAGTGGGTCACAAGCAGACAATCACATCGCTTTGTAAATCAGCTGATGATTCTCACTTCATTACAGGTTCACTTGACAAAACAGCTAAGGCATGTGTTCCTCTCTTTTCCTTTCTCTGTCTGTTGTTTCAAAGTTGTCCGCTGGTATATATTAATATCCTGATAAGAGTTTTTTTTGTGTGATAGTTGTTTCAGCTGTGGGATATGAGAACGTTGACTCTTATTAAAACTTACGCTTCAGGGGTGCCCGTAAATGCTGTCTCCTTGTCTCCACTCCTCGACCATGTATGTATTAATATGTCTATCAAGTTTGAATTTGATTCTCAAAAAAATCAAGGTTGTCTTTGTGATATTTAATGTTTCTTCTCTCTCTCTTAAGTTGTGATTGGAGGTGGTCAAGATGCATCAGCTGTTACAACCACTGATCAACGTGCTGGGAAGTTCGAGGCTAAGTTTTATGACCGGTGTGTTCTTCTTGTTCTATCAAACACCAATTTGAAATCTAAAAACCAATTTGATCCAAAAACACCATTCACTCTTCTTTTTTTTTTTTGAAATATAAAATAAGAAACTTGCATTGGAAGTAAATAAGTGTTTGGGTTCTTAGCTTTGGTTCATAAATCACTTTTACAACTAAAAATTATTAAAAAAAAGAATAAGCACCCCTAATTGAGTTGTTGGGTTAAGGGTGCTCTAACCGCACAAACATAGTTATCTCGGATCTCACCTTCGTCTTTGGTCTTTGTATGGCTGTCGAACAAAAGTTGAAGAGACTTTTTGAACACGCTAAGTGTGATTCGCTTGTTATCAAAGGCATCAATCAAGGACCGTAACGATTCCATCCCCGACTCCGAGTGACTCAGTAGCTTACTGATCATCTTAGAGTAGGTGTCGAGTGACTCAACCGTAAGCCCTAAATTATCATCGACGGACGCCATCATGCGCTTCTCAATCGCCTTCGATCTCTCTCTTTAATTTCTCACACTTTACTCTTTTTTATATTGTTTTTCACTCTTATTCGTTGTTTCTTGCGTAGAAGAGCTCGAGACTAAACCTTCTGCCCTATATATAGAGCCAAAACAAAAATGGAAATATTCCTAATCTTTTCTTTTCTCTAAGCGTGTTTCTTAATTATTATTATTCTTAACTAAAAAGTCGACTTCTAATCTATCTAATCTATTAATTAAAATATAGTCATTTTTTTATCTACTGATACAAGTTGTCATTTAAATTTGGACACTTTCTAGAGTGTTACAAATAATACAAGTTATATAGTTGATTGAACCCCATTACTTAAATTAAACCGGCGGTTATTTATGCAATAAAGTTTTGGGCTTACTTTTGTTTTTAAGACATTTAATTGTTTGGTTTTTGGGCTTAGTATTAAAGAAAAACTCCAAAAACAGTAAATAAATTTCCACCTTAATGGATCTAAAATCAATTACTATTTTCAGGCCCAAAAATATTTAATATTTTCAACAAAACAAAATTATCTATTATTAATCACTTATTTAAATCATGTACTTTAAAACATGTTAATATTTTTTAGCCCAAAAATATTTAATATTTTCAACAAAACAAAATTATCTATTATTAATCACTTATTTAAATCATGTACTTTAAAACATGTTAATATTTTTTATTTTAAATAACAATCACTCTATCTTGATAAATTTTAATGGTCACTTTAAATAATTTATTGTTTTATTTTTCTTATATAATTTACAGATTTACAAAAAAAAATGTAAAGGAAAACCAAAACCCAAATCTAAAAACTAAAATCCAAAACCAAAAGCTGAAAACGCAGGTTATATTTTTTGCTTTTTAAAAAAAAAATAAACTATTTCAAAAATTTTAGAAAATTATTTTGTCATCTTTTCAGTTTTAAATTACATGTTCGATTAATTGAGATTTGTTTGTTGGTAATATTAGTTCAAACTAACTCAGCGGGTCTAAAAATTAAAAACCCAAACCAAAAGCTGAAAATCAAAAATAGAAACTTAAAAACTCAAAACCAAAAACCAAAATTTAAAACAAAATCTAAAAATAAAAACTGAAACTAAAAACTAATGAAAAACAATCATCACCACAAATTTTGGATTACTGATTTTATATTAAAACATACTTTAAATAAAGAAAAAACTTAATCATATAATATTAATCAAAAAAATTTATGATTAATATTTTAATCAAAAAATCAATTACTCTTTTAAGATCCAAAAGTATATAATATTTTAACAAAACAAAACTATATATTATTAATCACTTATTTAAATCATGTACTTTAAAACATGTTAATATTTTTTATTTTAAATAACAATCACTCTGTCTTGATAAATTTCAATGGTAACTTTTATAATAGTTTATTTTTTATTTTTCTTAAATAATTTACTGATTTAAAAAAATAAATGTAAAGCAAAACTAAAAACCAAATCTAAAAATTAAAATCCAAAACCAAAAGCTGAAAACGCATGTTATATTTTTGCTTTTGTTTTGTTTATTTACAAAACAAACTATTGCAATTTTTTTAAATAAAATTGCTATCTTTTCAGTTTTAAATTAGATGTTCGATTCTTTAGGATTTGTTTGTTGGTAATTATGAGTTCAAACTAATTCAGCGGATCTAAAAACTAAAAACCCAAACCAAAAGCTGAAAATCAAAACTAGAAACTTAAAAATTAAAAACCAAAAACCAAAATCTAAAACCAAATCTGAAAATAAAAACTGAAACTAAAAAACTAATGCAAAACAGTCATCACCACAAATTTTGGATTACTGATTTTATATTAAAACATACTTTAAATAAAGACAAAATTTAATCATATAATATTAATCAAAAAAAATTTCCGCGCTTTCAAGCGCGGGTCAAAATCTAGTTGTATTTTAACTCAGGTGGGGTTTTGTGTCTTTTAGACATGGGACTTTGTTTTTTAAGTGATACAAAAAAATAGAAAATTTAAGATAAACTAGAATCTGATCTACACTCCCGTGCACGTAGGCCTGTTCAATCTGGTGTTCAGTCCGGTTTCAGTTCGGTTTTTTTCGGTTTTCGGTTTTTCGGTTTATAAAAATTAGCTACCATATTGGAACCATATTTAATTTGGTTTGGTATTTATACTACCGGTTTTCGGTTTATTCGGTTTTATAACAAATAACATTATTATTTGATTTGGTTTCATATTATCTAATTTTTTTTAAAAAACATATTGTCAAAAACTATCATTTATTAAAATAATCCTAGGTGTTCATAAATATAAAAATGTGAAATTAACAACAAGCAAAAACGATCAACGATTCAGTTTTGTATAGCTTTTCTTATTTTCTCTTTGTTCATCCAAATAAATTACATGGTACAATCTAATTTCACAATTTCTTACAACATGTAAAATCAAATCAAATTTAGATAATAGTTGAAGAAAATAAAATAAAATTATTAAGATATATCTTCACAAGGTATAAAAAATAAAAATAAAAGACTATTCCAAGAAAATAAATGATTATATAATGTATATATTTATATATTTTTTCTTTGATCGGTTTTGTTCGGTTTATTCGGTTTAATCGGTTATAAACCTAACCATATCTAAATCCTACGGTTTTTATAAAATCATATCCATTTGGTTTATATGGTATATACCAAATCCAAACCATATTGTCTATTTCGGTTCGGTTCGGTACGGTTCGGTATCACCATATTGAACAGCCCTAAGTGCACGTATTTGATTTAACATGTGTTCGATGTAAATTCATAAACTGGTTTTATAAAAAAAAAAAAAATTTATTTACATATAAAGTACAATATATTGTTTTATAATATAAATGTTTAATAACAATTTTTTATTTGTACATAATCTTATCTTATAAAATTTATAACTTGATGCAATTTGTTTAATTGTACTATTCATATATTAACATGTTGTTTTTTGTTAATTTATTTTATAATGAAACAATATACTGAAAATTAATTTTTGCATTAGTTTTCTATGAATTTATCATTAATTTGTAATATTTTATTTCTTGAAAATTGAACTCTCACAATTTTATATTTGACTAAATTAAATAACGTAATACTATATTTTAGAATTATCTTATACAATATATACTATATATTTCAGTTTGTGTTTTTATTTTCACCACAAAGAAAGAAAAGCTATTGTAATTAATTAATTTAAATTGATTTTAAATGTAAGGGTAGAATCTGTAAATAAAAAAATACAAAAAGGAAAGCATTTAATTTATTGTAAATGTAATCGCTAAATGTGCAAATAAAAAAAAAGTATTTAATATGCTATCCATGTTTCCAAATAATTTTCCTTTATTCTGTTATCCTTATTTCTAAATAGTATCAAAAGATACTTCAATTTTAACAATATAAATTTGACCCCAAACAAAAAAATTAAGATAAATTATAAACGGAATGGAATCGCAATTGGTAATAAACCGAACAAAATTCCTAATAACATATGTTACTGATAAACAATCTCTGATTGGTTCCAAAGTTTCTTTTTGTTTTTTCCTCTGAATCATTCACCCTTCTATCCCAATACCGTCCAATCACACCGAACCAAACTTTTTGCGGTTTAATCAGGTGAAATTTTGGTCATACCAAACTGCCCAAACTATATGAACCTCTATATATGGGGACATTGACTATTTTGACCCCAATCATACCAAATACTACTCGGACAAATGATCAATGCTATATACAAACTCAAATCAGTTATAATTCATTAAAACGACTAGTTTTTTAAAAATATGTCTAAATATACATTGACGTAATAGAAATTAGTCAACCGTTAAAAATATAACGACATTGTTTTAGTTTCATTATTTTTTTTAAAAAAAATATATGCCCCACTTTCGAATCCGTACCGTAAGCACTAGATAAAAGACTAAAACGTCATGAAAGATTGCGGTCAGCTTCTCCTGGAGACGACAGTGGACGAGGCGATAGATCACCTCCTGTTAGTTCTGAATGATCAAAATAGCAGAGTATGTCCGTTGGCCTTTTCTCCAATTGAAACCATCTACTTTTGATAAACTGTTCAAAACATTATAAAACTTGTGTCTGTTTCACTTCCATCTTCTTCCAAGATAAAATATATTGTGTCAGCTATCAGGTCAAATGATAATAATTTAATCAGTTTAGTTAAGCAGCTACATAGGTTAGTGATGAACTATAAGCTAAAAATATATACTGTCGCATGCTTCCTCTTTATGAGAAACTGTTTATAGATGTGTATCTTTAATTTGTGTTCGTCATTTTACAGAGAAAAATAGAAGGCAATCGTAGTCGTTAATATAACTGTCAAATGAGTGAGTTGGTTATTGGTTGTCCATGTTTATATCTAAATGTGTCTATTTGGTAACATGTAAATGAGTCAATTCGGTAACACCTATTTGTATGGACAAAAATCACTAGACCATTAGACGGTGAACGTTGATAGGTTTGGACATCACCAATGGTCACAACAAACTAGAGTTTCTAAAATTTTGTCATTTGATTTCTCTCAAATAAGTGTTTTTGTCAAATCAAATTTTCGTCAAAATTAAAAAATATAAGTTTTTCCGCCAAAATCACAAAACTCGAGACTTCTTGTCAAAATCATAAAATAAAATTTTCTACTAAAATCGTAAAATTGAATTTTCTCGCTAAAAAACGTAAAACCAAGATTGCCCGCCAAAATCATAAAACCGAGATTTTCCACCAAAATCATAAAATCGAAATTTTCCAACAAAATCATAAAATCAAGATTGTCCTTCAAAATCGTAAAACCGAAATTTCCCTCTAAAATCGAAAAACCAAAATCTCCCACCAAAATCATAAAATCCAAATTTTCCCGCTAAATTCACAAAACCCGAGGTTTCTCGTCAAAATCATAAAACTGAGATTTCCTGTCAAAATGCAAAACCGAAATTTCCCACCCATAATGCAAAACCGAAATTTCCAGCTCAATCATAATCGCAAAATTGGGTTTTCGACAAAATCAAAAAATTGAGTTTACCGCGCAAGATTGACTTTTACCGTTAGAATAGCAAAACCCAGTTTTCTTATATGTATTTGTAGACTTGTAAATTGAAATTTAAAATATTCTTATATGATTCATTACAGATCTCATGGCAGCCCATATATATATATATATGAATGTTTGTGGGTTTGGTTTATAGTAGACATAGTCTTTAATGGCATGGTCATTTTGTGTCCACAAACCATACATGGACAAATGGATAAGGATTAATGGACATGGCCAACCCATTTAACAGTCGTAGACAAGTCACGCTCTCGTTCACTAATAATTGATACACATACATCATACTTTGATAAAGTTCAACACTATTTATACACACATAATAAAGCCAAGCATGCATTATTCATGAAACATTCGAATAAACATCATTAAGAGCCGTACGATGATTATAAGTTTTTCAACTTATTTCATTCTACACACAGTCTGGCCTTCGTACCATTATTTGATATTGAAAAGCATGACAAAAGAAAATAAAACGATTCAAACAAACAAACAAACATGAAACATCACTTTCCTTTAAGTTCATTCTTCGTTAACGCCTTGATTAAACCGCACTTGTTAAGTTCCCATTTAACCTTCTCCATCTCATCCTCCGGCAACGTGAGCGTCACACACCTCTCCTCCTCCTCAGCCCCCGGAAAAACCACCACGGCTCCGTCATCTCCTATCCCCTGAACATTGCAATACACAGATCTCGGAGACGCCTCCCTTACCTTCGCCTCGTAGAAATCCACTTCACTCATATCCACAAACGTCAACTTCGCTCCGTATACAATCAAGTCCAAAATACCACCACCGCTCTCCACAATCTCATTTATCAAGAAAGTCTCATCGGTTGCTTCTCCGATCGCTTTTATGATATCCTCCAAATTTGCATGGACCACAGAAAAATCTACGTGGACGGAGCTAATCAGCTGAGTGTTTCTCACTGCTCTATGTTTCACACCGTTAGGATCCGACCTGATGATCGTGATGGCAACCGGCTCACATGTTTCTCTAGCCTTTGCTATGCATTTCCATATGATCCCACTAAGAATCTCGAATTCATCTTCGTTTGCGGGAAAATATGATTTTATATTGTTGACGGTTACATTGAAGGAGTATGTTGTCATTTTGCTGTTATTTGGAGTGACCCAGAGGTCCCCAACCGGGTCAACACGTTTGATGGAACCCGGTTCTTTGTCCGTGGAAGTCGGGTTTGGAGAACCTCTTTGTAAGTCAGTGGGTTTGGGGCAGTAGATCTCTTCACCAGCTAAGGTTCGAAACCATAAGTTGGAAAAGTGAGAAAGAGAGAATGGATCTCCCATGATATGTGCCCAACTTAGACCAAAAGCTAACCCACCGCACTTGAACCGGGTCATCTACAGAAACAAAACCAAAAAATACCTATATTTTACTTTGTATTATTTACATGTATGTTTCTTTCTATCGTTAGGTGAGTACCGATATTTCATGTTAAATATCTGAAACATATATTTTAATTACTTTTCACTAATACTATTTGTAAATTTTTAAATCTGTAAGGAAAATTTACTTTGTGCGAGTGCCATGCAAAAGCACTCTTTTATGTCTAGAATTGGTCCTCATGCTTGATGGTCATGCTGAGACCGTTCCTTCCACGGTTATATTGTTTTCTTTATAGTTCTTTAGTTTTTAAAAAAAAAAAATTGATTTAATGGACCAAACACCGTACTGAACACATGATTTACAAAGGTAATGGAATTCGGCAATCCGTTGAAGATACGTTTTTTTGTCTAGTCACCTATGTATTTTTCTTGTTTATTATTATTTTAATGTAATTTTTTCTTTCAACTTTTATATTTAACGCGAATTAGCAGAGAGATACACGTACCTGAATATATATCAAAGGAGAGTATGCCAACTCCGGTCCAACTGGTTGGTGATAAACCAAAGACTCATCCACTGACCGGTCTGGTACACGTAGCCACTCCTCCACTGTGAGATCGCACTGACTTTCAACAAAACGCGTGCCACAGTCGTTGCACTTTATGAACGGACGTCCAGAATCGTTCCGCCTGAACCTGCCAATGGTCCATGGGATATGCTCGAACAGTGGGAACAAGGGCCGTTTAACGTGCATCACGGTCAAGTCACGTGCCGTCTCGGCCGAGTATATATAAACCACCTTTAGGTAGTGGAGCTTCATGGCGAGGTCTAAACCGGTGGGTTCGTGGGTCATGCCAGTCTCTGTTGGTCGGGATGCACTCACGGTCGATAACCGAAAACTATGAATTGGACTGCTTCCCTCTTCTTGAAGTCGACCCATGTGTATGAGACAGAGATTAGATGTATGAGAAATATAGGTCAAAATGCTTTTAAGTAACCTCTCGGTCTAGCCCGTATATATAGGAATAATTAAATATTTTCTGCAGACATTTTTCTCAAAGTTATCAGTGTTTTGCGACGTGTCGCCCTCCCTTTCCTCACTTTTTTATAACTATGACTGTGATCTACTCATTTTGTTATGTATAACATTACAATGGAGATCGTATCAAAAATACAATATTGTTGCGTCACGAGTAGGTGAATGTGACCCCCATTCCTAACTGACTTCCCTATCAGAAGAAGGCCATATCACCAAGGCTGTATATATCTAAATAGAACTTTTATACACAAAAAATGAATTGTATTGATTACGATATACCATATATATATTGTGAAAACTAGGGCTGGGCAAATAAACCGAACCCAAAAACCTAAATTGAACCTGATCCAATAAAAATGAATCCGAACCGATCCAAAGCCGATTTAAATACCGAATGTATCTTGTTTTATGGTATTTCGGGTTATAGGTATTATCCAAACCGAACCTGAAATTAAATGGATATCCGATAGAATCCGAAACATTCAATTTTTTTAATAAGAACGTATACCGAGCATGATCTTAATTCCTAATATATATTCAAAATATTTTAAGATATTCTCTAAAATACTTATTTATTACATGAAGGTTAATGGTTGAAGGTGGCGATTGAAACTTGAAATTTTTAGATTAAGGTTTTGTTATTATTGAATAATGTTTCTTATGATCAAGTTTGATGTTCTTTCTTTTATTTTTGAATCAATTTTACTTATGTTTTGGTTACAAAATAGTTACACATTAGGTACTTTAAATTTGAAGAACCGATTTTACTTATGTTTTGGTTACAAAATAGGTACAAATCAAGTATTTTTAAACTAAGGAACCGATTGGGACCCGAATCCGAAAGTATAACGGATTGTACCGGTTCTTTAAAGATTTACTAACCCCGTATCCGAATCCGATAGAACCCGAACCGATCCCAAAACAAACTTTCAAATAATCCGAATGAGACTAATTTTGATAAACCTGAAAAACCGAGATCTAATTGGACAAAACCGAAACCCAAATGGAACGCCGAATGTCATGCCTAGTGAAAACATTACTAAATATCAGCTTTCTTTCTAATTTTGATATGTGAAACGGCCTTTTAGTTATATGATGTGACTGAGTCATCTGATATGTGTACCAAATCTATAATTAAAACTTAACACATATTTAATAATTTAAATCTGACTATCGGTAATTAGGGTATTAACATTAACTAGAGTTTGACCCGTGCGTCCGCACGGATGTTTGTTTTTAGTTTATTTATAAATAAACATTTTTTCTATAATTGTAGTATATATTTTTAAAATTTATCCATATTATGTAGTTGTTTAATATAAAATTTCTAAATATAATAATTTTATTGTTATAATAAATAATTTTATCTTATTTTTGAACTGTAAATTGTCATCGCCACATTTTTATAATATACACCATGTTCCCATGCGGAAATACTTTATTTTTTAATAATAAATAAATAGATATTGAATGTGTATTTAACATAAAATGTTTAAACATTTTTTATAGATATTAATAATTACTACATGCAATAAGTTATATATTAAGTTGTATTATGTTCATTTTTATTGATTGAATTATATAAAAATTTATGGTGGACTCTATAATATTCTATTATACTAAACCCACGTGGATATGATATAATAGTAATACACACAATCTATAATATTCTTTTGTTCTAAACTTTTAACTAAATCGTATCTTTTGAAAATATATGCTAATCAATTTTAAATACTTGTTGTAATTGCTTGTGCAGGATATGGAATCTAATTCTGAAAGGCATTTTTAATTTATTCACAGTAATAGAAATATATTGATACAGTGGCATGTTTTGTAATATTTGAGGAAAAACTAAGGGGTATTATCTATTTGTACTTCTGTTTTAATATTTTAGATGAACTTTTTAGAAGATCTTTCAAAATCAAAACAAAATTTTCTCAAAAAAACATCAAAATTTAATTAAAAAAAAAAAGAAAGAAGAGGTAAACCCAAATTTTTTTTTATAAAGGGCTTAGAAAACCCAAAAATAAAGTGTGGGTTAATGAGAGTGCTAAACAAAATGAGAGAAGTTGATAAAAGTGTTATAAATATTAGATATAAATGCTCATTACTAAAGTCTATATTTTAGAAAATTCTAAGTATATCTTACCTCCATACTTATTTTTATCTCAAGTATATATATATCTTTCCATATTTTCGGTTATCTATAGACATCACCAATTCCATATTTCTCGCTTTTCTATTCACAACACATGGACTTGTTGGGTTTTTTGTCAGCTGGAGATATGTTGGTTCATATAATTCATCTGTAATCAAGATCCTAAATGTTATGGTGAAAAGAATAAAAGAAATATGCTTCAGTCCAAATCTGAACCTTAAAGAGAAGGAGACTATCACAACTGGTTTTATCCATAATTTAGTTAAGCAATTAAATAAAGCAACCCTAAGCCAAAGAGTGTGTAGTGTAGTGTACGAACACAAGCACCATCAATCATATTGCTTCAACATTTATTACGGCTTCATTTATAATCGTATGCCAGCTCCCTTTCAGGTTCCTTTTATATATATGAACATATGTCTTATCTTTTGTAAGTTCATTTATCAAGAGGTCACCATCTAAAATGCTATAACATTGTAGGAGTTTCTTAAAGAGTGTAAATGATCTTTTCTTCCTATTTATATGCTAGATAGTGGAAAATATAGCAAACTGGTAAAGGAAATGAGATTTAACACTACCGGTGGGACTAGTCACCTCTTGCCAACATTTATTAATGAGGAGTCCATAATCTAATAGTTACACGATTGAAGCCGCATTAGAACTTACAAACCCGAGCTCTGTCACACACATGTTTCCCAAATTGCAAAGATATAATCTACACACCTCTCAGTTAGATATACAAGTGAAGCATGGTTAATATCTAGAACTCAATAGCCCAAACATGAAGTTTATATCAAAACAATTATCTTAAGTATTCTTTAGATCTCTCTTTATTTGATTGGGTGGTATTTGGAGAAGATATTTCATGAGAATAATGCAATTAACACGCTATCTTTTTGTTAACACAGTTAATTAACACATGTTATTAGTTTCAGTTTTTTAGAAAACGAGTTGCTTTGTCTAAATCTTACTAATTTACAGGTGTTCGTCACCACCATATATCTCAACAATGAGAAATCTAAATAATAATAATAGATTTTATGTACTTCTTAAGAATTCGAAAAGTTGATTATATTCTTAGAAGTAATGAATATTATTAGTTGATGAATTTTTATAACATAAAATTTCCTGATATATAGTAAGCAAACTAAGTTTCGTATGGTGTATCTATATAAATACTGTTCAGTATACATACGTTAGATCATGGTCTCGTGACTGAAAGTTTGTTTGTTTTTGTTTCAAACTTGTTACGAACATTAGGTGCGTGTTAGGTGAGCGTACATACACTTGTAATATATACGTAATAGGTAGGTACACACATATCATTAAGTATGTTCATAAATATGTAAATATGAGTCTAGCGTTGGTACATATGATCAATTTTGTATATACCTTGATAAACAAGTAATTTCGAGTTTTTGAGTGCAGTTTTTTTTAGATCCAGATCACTTTTAATAATACTTGTGTCAGATCCAAAAATGTAAGTTCCCTTTTCCAAAACGTAGCAATCATCTAGGATTCTAAATCAGATCCGGTAGCACTCTGCACTTGAACAACTATTTCAAAAATATCATGGTTTATATGGGTTTCTTTGCAAATATGTGACATATCCTCTTTGAAAAAAAAAATTACATATCCTCTGAATAGATTTCTAAAACAATACCCAGTAAGCACCAAGAATGATAAATTTGCAACTCTAGTGATGTGAAATTAAGGGTCAAGATATGTAGTATAAGGTTGTGGCTGTGAACTGTTTTAGATAGGGTGGTCATAATATCCAATGACAACTTAACTACTATAGAAACGATCCAACTACTTTTCACGTACAGTAGGTTGTGTCTCACGTGAACTAATAGTGTAGACAGGGCCGGCCCTGGGCACTGCCTCATGAAACATTTGCAACAGGCCTCCGATTTTATAGGCCCCCAAAAGATAAAAATTCAATTATATTATATATATAAAATTTTAATAATCATATACAGCCCACTTTAAATTTATTTCAAAAGATGTAGACAATTTTTTTTTTGTGAGGAAACTTGTGTCTTATTAGTACTTTGTATTTGAAAGTATTTTTCAAGTTTGTTTCTGTTATTTTTTTGTGATGTTGTATACTGGCCCCCGTTTTCTATTTTGTTTCAGGCCCCCGAAATTTCAGGGCCAGCCCTCAGTGTAGAACATCGTTACAAAAGATGTACGTTCTATTTTGGTTCACAGCAAAGAGCAGATCCTAGACGTTATATGAATGGTCCCTGTGGTTTGTTCATACTCCAGAACTTGTTGATCCAAAAAGAGAAAGTTATACTTAAAAGTAGAATTTTTTTTATAGTGTCTTTCATGAATGTCATTCATAAAAACAATATAATGGGCTTTTGTGGCATATTCTGTTATGAGGTTTTGGGCCATGTTGCTATATGAAGCCGCTGATGAGAATTATTGACGCATACACAAGCTGGCGTGATGGTTACTTTATAAAGAAGAAGTTAGATAGGTCCGGTAGTAAGAGATTCATCTAATATTTTATTAGACCACCGCTCTATCATTGTACTTTGACTCTAACCCTGGGAAAGGGAGTCTGGGGTTCATTCTACCCAAAGTAACTTTACATCCAAAGTCAAAACAAAGTATGAGTTTTGCTATCCAACACTAAGGATCGGATTGGATTCATCCTTCCATTCAAGTTTTTGCACCTTTGGTGTTAAGTTCTGCTCAGGTCACTCACCATCAGGAACAAGTGTTTTGAACTTAGATTATAGACTTTGTTCCTAATAATATATGATATATAAACGATGAGTTAGATAAATACATA